ACTGAGAAATTCCTGCACCAGTTGCAACTGCTTAACTCAAAATCTAATGTGCTCTAGAAAACTGTAGTATTCATGTCAGTGTCCCACTATTAAATAGATTATGAATACCTACAATGCTTCAGTTTGACATTTTATCTATTTTTATAAATCTAATTGCATATTGTGGATGAAAATTGCACGTGTTTGGTAAACTGGTATAAAGAACTGCCACACCATAGCAGTGATTGGCTGTGCCATGAGAACTGTCAAGTGGCTGTTTACAGTGTGCTTGTGTGCCAAATATTATTTTAATCCTGATTATTGAAAATGAAAGTTTAGGATAACAAACTACTACTAATCATATAAACCATGCTGCTTACTAAGATGTGTTAAAGTGTCTCCTTAATTTCTTCTACGAAGTCTACAAAACAATCATTTAACCCATCCCCTTTTGAAAAGGGAAGTAGCTTGGGTGTGGGTAGTAGTGGTGAGAGGGGAAACAAACTGTAGCCTGTTTCTTATTATAGTAACATCAAATGAAAGGCAGAAATGCACAAGTGTCATGACTCTGTTGCCTTTGACTACTAGGATTGTGGGTTCAGATCCAGGACTCAGGGTGTAAGCCCAGTAGTGCCTGTAAAGCAGCTTGCAGTAGAAGGGGTGCTACCATTATTCAACTAAAATTTAAGGTTAAAGTCTCCAGCTGTCCAGGAGGAAGCGAAGATCAAGTAGAACTTAATGAAGAGGATAAGTGTTTCTTTGCTTTAAAAAATATATATAAATAAAAAATCCCCAACCATATTAATATCCAGTGTTTTGTGAAACTGGATTGTAAGCCCTAGAGAGAGGTGCTATTCTGCATCAAATTTGTTCTTTCTTAATGCTAGTGGCAGATATTGTTTCTCTTTCCAAACCGTTCCTTTTGTTTGTTTTTAACTAATTTCCCAGACTTAAGGGTAACCATGTTTCCATTTTTTTGTTATGTTTCCTTTTTGATTTTCAGGTTATTAAAGAGCTCCTGGTGGAGCCATGTTGGCCTCTTACTATTCTTCCTTTGTTTCCTTTGCATGAGAATAGTTCGCAGATGTGCCTTTTAATATTGTCTCCTTGAGGAACTGCCAGCTCTCCTGAATTCCTTTTTCCCTTAGATTTTCTTCTCATGGGACCTTACTTACCAGTTCTGTGTTTGTTAAAGGTTTGTACATAAATAGCTCGAATATTTAAACTTAAAATAATCGTATGTACAGTTGAACATTTTGATAATGGATCTCTACTTACACAATTGTATTTGAATTTTACAAATCTTCCTTTGATCAGTAACCATCTTTATTTAACCTCTGAACATGTGTGGAATGTTGCACCATAGGGTTAACATGGATGGTCTGAACTGGTATTGCAAATCTTAGATTATCCACATTTCTTATTGAATTTTCCAATTTGGAGGAAAGTGTGATTAAAATACCTTGTAGTTTGGACAATGCTAGGGAAATATACATGATCTAGCTCTCCTAGTTTCCATAAGTGTAAATCAGAGTAATAACTTCATAAATTTAACCTAATAAACTGAGGGTGGATATCAGAGTGGAAGAATTTAAATTGGGGCAACTTACATAGATTTGAATCCTTCTGTTTAAAAAAAAAAAAAAAAATTTGAGCTGCTCTAAAATTAATCTGAAAATTTGTGCGATTGTAACTTTAGTTTATAATGAACTAAACTATAAATACTGGGTGGGGGCTGGGGAGTTTAAAATGCCATTACTGGTAGGGTATCTTACCTGAACCTTACAAAAGTGATAACTTTCGAGAAATATTTTGCTTATAAGCCCCTGATCCTGCAAACACTGATGCAGAACTTTGCTCTTATTGACTTCAATGGGGCTGTTGTGCATCCTTACATTTAAGCACAAAAAGTGTTTGCAGCATCAGGGGCTAAAATTGTGTATTAAACTTTTTTAGTATCATAAAAGCGATCACTGCAAAATAAGTGTTTCATTAACCATGAAAGGTTTAGATGTTCAGTACAGTAAATTAGAACTTTTTTTGAAAATTTTGGTAGATGTATACAGGAGCTTAAGGTTAGGTGCTTTTGAAAATCTTACCCTTGGGAGGATTGACTTCAAACCCTGATGGAGGCGCGAAGAGGTTAGTGGAAACATTTCATCTTTCTTGACTCATGGCAGTTCATTGTATTGAATAGTGATGGTTGTTGCAAATGTACCACGGGCTCTTTACTCACCAGTTTTGTATTCTCATAGTAAGGCTATTAATGGAGCCCTGGACTTGTCTGCTGTGACATAGGTCAGTGTTTTAAGTGTGAAACTTCTCAGAAAATCTGTTCAGTAGAAACAGATTTTAAATAATGAGGAAACGAAACAAACAAGTCCAAAGTTACCTTTCCCAATTTATAAAATGGGAAGAAAGTAAACTACAACTTCCAAATGTAATCTGATTTTTAAAAAATCATGACTCACCCCCAACCCCCTTGTAGAAATATATTTCTACAGTTACAAAGGTTGCTAGGAACGGTATTGTAAGATAATTGTTTCAGACAGAAAGTCCTACTAAGGATTTTGCACATTGGCTTAATGCAGCTTTGAAACTTGACTGTGCGGAAGAAAAATGCTGCTTTTTAACCATCTTAATTTAAATGAACTGAGCACAGAAACAATTTCCTTTTTTTTAATAGTTTAACACAACACTGTACTGTATTTGCCTTTTTTGGCTCTGGTGCTGCCTGATTGCACTTCTGGCTCCAAATGAGGTGTGTGGTTAACCGGTCAGTTCAGTTCATCACTCGGGTGTTCATAATTCTGAGGTTCTACTGTTGTGATAGCCCAGTAACCATAGCGAGAACTCTGAAACTGATCAGGCAATAAAGCATAGACAAAATGGGGGCCTGTGAAGTTTTGGTAAATCTGCAATTTACCTACAGGTTCCTGCCTACTCTTAATCAGAAGCAAAGCATCACTAGTCATTTGAAAGGCCTATGTACACTATCTATAACCTTACCATCATGTCAGCCTGTGCTTGCTTGTATAGTACCAGTTTTCAAAAAACCTCTTGATATTTACTAGTGTCTAACGCTGGCAATTTTTAAAATTCAGCTCAATCCATGTTCAAGTGGTCCTAGGCCCACTTCGTCCATTCTGATTAGATTTTCACCTGATCCTTGATCACTTTTCCTTACTATTGCTGCTCTCTCCTTTGCCCCTGGAGATCCACAAGAGCCAGCATATTTGATACCTTCTTTATTAGGCCTATAGTTGTTGCTCCTTTCAAACTGGAACACTTCCCTAGAATACATACAGCACTGGTGAATCTATTTTTTGCACATGGTTGCTTCACAAAGCGTCCAGCCAGAGCAATCTGGCTTTCCGGTAAATTAAATGGAGGAAGACTGCTCAGAATTGACCATTTTTTACACCCCCCACCCAATGTAATCAGTTTTTGTTTGTAACCTAGGCCTTTTGTATTAGAAGTTGAATCCACCCAGTAGTGCAGAGCTGTCCTAATTTAATAAATAATTCCAGCCTTTGAATATAAAAAAACAGTGGAAACATGAACTGATCCTGCAACTCACCTGAAACCATAGGCATGGGAGGGAAGAATTGCCACATTTACTGCAGTGGGGGAAATGACCATTTAAAATTTCAGTACTCCTTTTCTTTTTGCGAATACAGACTAACACGGCTGTTCCTCTGATACCTGATAGTTCACTACTGGATGTTTCTGCTAATGCATTTATGCCAATGTCCCCATGAACTTGCCTTCACTACTGATCAGTTCTGTAGTGCACTTAAACTGTCACTACAAGTCTTTGGATGTGAACCACAAAGTGCTGTTGCAATACTGAATAGCATGGCACCTAGGAAAGTACAGGAACAGTGTGCGCCACATAACCAGCATGTGAACCAATGGGAGAGGTGTGCTAACCTTACCCAGTATGCTAAAGATAGCACAGTAGGTGGTCCTCTGCTGCCCCCCCTTCCCCCCAGCATGTGACTTACGTGTTTAGCTATCCATCTCTTTCCTTGTTTGTGAATCCCTCTTGGCAGCAGAAGGTAGGACCAAGGCAGCTGGCTGTTTATCTGAGTCAGTGTGCGTGTTCAGGCAGGAGGTAGACACCCAGGTGCCTCGAGTGAAGCTGCTGTGTGCATGCCCAGAGGGGGGGGAGGGGAGAAGAAACTTATTCACTGAATGAGCATAGGTTCCTACAGCATTAAGCAGCAGCTGAGTGGGTGTTCTGTGGATCACAATAGTGCCTAAAAACAAGTTAGGTGCCTCATTAGCCTCATGGATTCCACTCCCACTCCCTCCAGTTTTAGTTCTCAAAATTGAGTGTATATGGAATTTACCCTGGAGAAAGTGTACCCATTTCATAATTAAAACTCCTACATTTTTCAAAGCTGCCACAGTAAGTTCAGCTTGCCTTAAAGTACCAGGTCTTGCTTTTAACAGGGATGTTTGTAACAGTCACTGACATATCATTTGCCTTTCCTCCACTCAGTGTTGAGCATCAAGTGGCACATACATAAATATGGAATACAAGATGGAGTAGTCAGTTAAAGGGAATTACTAGCAAATCAATAATTAAGCAAATCCATTTAGATTTTTTCCAAATGTTAGATATAGATGTCATGGTTAGTAAGATCCCCAGAGTGACATGAGGTTTTAGTGTGAATAGATGCCATTTTCAGACTACATCTGTAACAGGACTACCTAAGAGATGAGATCAATAAATGGAACAAATTTGAAGTCAGGAATGGCTTAAGTCCCTCTTCCCTTTCATTCTCTCAATGGGTAAGCTAAACAATATAAATGCATAATTGCATTTAAGAGAAATATTTGTCTAGTGTAGTAGTATAAACTATTTGAGCTGAATGGCTTTGGGCAGTTAATAAACTTTAGAGACTACAAGCATTGCAGTAAGTTCACATGTTAGACTTAATAGGAGAAGGGAGAGAGTCAGAAGTAGTTTATACAGAAATTGAACAGTTTGCTTAACATTACCACCACACAAGTTTGTAAAGTGACTGCATTTTATTAATTCAAACATTTGTTGTTTTCACTTTTTTTTCTTACTCCTACAGCAAGCACTGCTCTTTGCATGCAGAGTTTTCCTGTGCAGAGGAGACAACAGCTCGACTGTTTTCAACATTACTCTAGTTTAGTACACCTTCAGAACAGGTGACTCAAATTAAAAATACTTAATTTAAAATATGACTACTGTACAATGGAAACTATTTAATTTATCCTTATTTACAAAACACTATCCTGAGAATCATTCTATTAAGCTTCAATTTGAGCAAAGTATTTATATAGAATCCCTTAAGTAACAGCAGTTACTTAACTGAAGATGATTTTACAGGTATAGAAAGAGTACATCAGGTTAATTTCCAAGATGTCAGACAACAGCATCAGGTGTCTTGCTGTGGCTCTGGATGTCCTGTAGCTGGAGTATTTGATAGATGAATTAATGCAGGAGGCTCACTCCTATTTTCAAGTGAAGGCGGAGGAGGCAGAAAAGATCCAGTTCTTTGTGGTGGATATTGAGAAAAAGGCCTCACTGGAAATGGATTTCTCACTGTTTAAAGATATTTATAAAGTATTTAGCTAGTTACATTTTTAAAGCTTCATTATCCAAAATATATAGACTTAATGCTGGATATCCTTTTTTCACTATGCCAATCAAACTTTTAGCAGTTTAATAATTTACAGTGACCTGTGTCTGTAAACAAGCAAAGGGCACGATGCCAGAAAACACAAGACTTGTACTAGGTGTTAAATTCCCAGTGCTACAGTCTAGGTTGGGAAAAGAGGTGGAAGATGCACCAAACCATGTTACACCTCTCAATGGTATCCAATTACAGGGTACTGCACTGTAATGAGGGTGAATGTAGGTATGTATATGCCACTGCCATCTCAAATAGTCATATGCACTTGAGGTATGGCATTCTGCAAGGTTCTCCTTTTGCTCCTGGAGGAGAAAGACTTGGATTATATCCATTGATTCTATCAATGGGACATGAACTGTGATGGCTGTTGGCAGGTACTACTTTATTACAGTGCATTTAAGCATTTTGCTTGAAAAGCCCCACATCAGGCATTTTAAAAGTTTGATTTTTGTTGGTAGAAAATAATGGGAAAACTCCACTTAATAGTCCCTTAAAGCCTTTTAAAAGTATCCCTAAATATTTGTCAAAAGTGAAGATCAAACTCTCATCTCACACCTCCTACAGAGCTAGTATCTGAATTTATAAAGTGCCCCTACCACAACTGTCCATGTACAATTTTTTTAAATTCCACCAATACATTTGATCATGAGGTTTTGTTGCCTTTCGCAGAGCCTGCCTGGGGTATGTTGTTTCATTTGAGTGAGGTGGTGGCTTGAGCACAGAAGCCTAAAAGTTTACTAATTTGAGGGAAGCTAATCTGCAGCCTCCTATAAGCAAGTATTAAGTGACCTCAAACATGAAGCCTAATGCTTCCTAATTTGATTTTGCCAACTCAGAGGCATTGGTCAAACGTTCAGTTCCACTTTCCCACAGCACATCCGTGTACTGAGGGTATGTCTACATTAGAAATGTAAGTTGACCTATATTAGGTTGACTTACAGCCACTGCTGTAAGTATGCACACTACCCCCCTTTGGTTGGTGGTGTGTCTCCTCACCAGGAGTGCTTCCACCAACATAAGAGGGGCAGTTTAGGGAGCTGAGAGGCCACTCTTCTATGAGCCCAGCTACCCCATAGGCTTGAGATGGGCTGTTTCCCCCTGCACCAGAAAGCTGCCTGAGGCTTTTCAGCCCCTTCCTCCTCCCTGGAAGGAGCCAAGTTGGCTTGTCAATTTCATGGCTTGGAAGGAGGGAAGCCACTAGAGCAGGGGACAGCTGGGCTCTAGCTTCCCAGCTTTCTTCTATGAAATTGACAAGACAGCCAACAGGCACTGTAAGAGAGATGGTCTCTACACAGACACTGTGTCACCCAAACTAGTTTGACATTAGCTCTGTGCCTCTTGTGGAGGTGGTTATATTAGGGTGACCAGATGTCCTGATTTTAGGGTCTTCTTCTTATATAGGCTTCTATTATCCCCCACCCCATCCTGATTTTTCACATTTGCTGTCTAGTCACCCTAAGTTACGTCAGTGGAATAGGGCACTTGCAGCAGCCGGAGGAAGGCTGTAGTATAGATACTGACCCAATTAGGTTGACATCAGGTGACTTATGTCAACCTTACTGTGTAGTGTAGACAGACTTTCAGATTCTAGAATTTATCAAAATTCCACTCTCCTGCCACATCAGAACAATCTTGTGCATGAAGTGGAATAAATATCTTACAGCTAGCAATACGCAATTCGACTTCACAGGTAGGCCAATGAAATAGGTACGAGTCTTAATAGAGGCAAAGGCAAGCCTTGATTTCAATCTGGGGGCAGTTAGTGGTTTGCCCATACACAATCTTCTGAGCAGTGGAAATAGAGGAACAGCAACAGCAGCATTATGCCAGCATGCAGCCTTCCTATCATGATAGTGAGGTATTTTCCTTTATCAAGTGACTGCATCCCTGCAGATCTTCTCCACTATTCTTGCTCTGTACTTATTTTGGAAGATTCTAAGCACCTGTGTATCATAGAAGGCTAGAACTTGGCAGGATCTCAGTTTATTTCCTGTAACCAAAATAACAGCTATCCAGTTGTGGAAGATTTAACTTTCATTTACATAGCCTCAGTTTAAAGCTGGCACGTGATTTAGTTCACATTGTTGTTTAATGGCTTCTTGTTGAAGGGAGGAAGATATTTTTAAAAGTGAAAAGCAAGCGTAAGTATATAGAGAGACTAACACTGTCTAGAGTGCATGTAGGAGGGAGCCTCCCAACCTGGATCTGCACAGCAGAGCTCTGGCTAGTGCACTAAAAATAGCTGTGTAGGGTGTACCTGGACAGACTCAGAATGGCTATTTTTAGTATGCTATGTCAGTGGACCTGGGCTGGAGGACTCGCTTCTAGATACATTGTACACATCCCCTGACAACACCAATTAAGTGTCAAAGTGCACACTTACAGTACAGTAAGATGTATAGGTCTAAAGAAATTGTTGGCCAAGCTTCTCTGGCCCTAGCATAAATCAGAGCTCCTGGGGCCTGCTCTAGCTTACCTCAGCAGGCTATGAGCTTTAGTTAGAGTGCAGTGTACTCTGCCAATGCCCCCTGTCTGTGCTGAGGCGGTGTTGGGATAGGAACTGGTTATATCAGTTCTACACCTGCTGGGAAATAGGGAGGGGCTAGAGAATCTGGCCTAGTTTCCTTGACAGCTTTACAAATAGTGATTTTACAGTTATGTAGTAAATTATACAAGAACAACAGGATGGACAGATTTGGGATGAAACTTAAGTCTTAACTAACTTTATGAAAAAGTAGCTGCTTTGTCATGCCCTTCACATTAGCTTGATTTGGAGGAGAGGAAAAAAGGGTGTGCAGAACAAGAAAGATTGTACCAACACCAAAAGAGGTCTTAGAGAAACACAGTAAGATCAGGAATATAATTTACATATACACCCTGAGGATGGTAGTTTTAGGGAATTTAAACTAATTAAGAAAACAAATGCAAAGAGAAATGACATACTTGCCAAGGCAGGACGTGGTAGACCCACAAAATCCCTTGGAAAATATTCACGAGGTCCATACATGCCAATAGGAGGAGGAGGTGGGAAAGGAGGTCCTCTTCTTATAAAAGCTCCTCTAGGATCCACAGGCAGCAGTGGAGCTCTCGGTGGAGGGAGAGGTGGGGGAGCGAACCCTGATCCAATTGCTTCACTTTCAGAGGCGAGTGACTGATCAGACACAGTTAGGAAATTCTGTAGCAAAAATCAGAAAACTGGTCAATCAGCTTTTTGAAAGCGATAAGGCCTGTATTTTCAAGACAGGAGGTGGAGGACTGAGCTAGGAAGCCTGGGTTCTATTCCTTGGGCCAGTTAATCTCAAAGAATGCAGCTGGGAACAGTCAAAGGAAAAGAAAAGTGGGGAAATGAGTGCACACAAGCCATCATCTGGATCACTATAATTGTATCCCCTTCCCCACATCCTTTTGTCTTTTCAGTTTTTCAGATGGTCAATTAATTTGGGATAGGGACTATGTTGTCTTATATACGTGCTTAGTACATTGTGGGTGCTATCACAATCTATATACAAGTTTGCAGGTCTTTAAAAAGTGATAGAGGAACAAACTGGAACATAGCTGATCATCTAGTACATACAAAAAACCTTGCCTTAAAAAGTTTAGAACAAACAGATTAAAAATACATCCTTGCACAAAAAAATGAATAAGTTTTTATTCATCTATTACTTACACTAAAACTGGGATAGTCTTTAGTTTCATTTCCACTGGGCTCTGTCCTCGAACTATTTTCTGGAGACGCTTGCCCATCTGTGTTGAAAAGTAACAAAATAAATTAGGTTTTCCCACCACTTCTTCTGCAAACCACCACCACCAAAGTTTGTCCAAAAAAGAAGGGGAAGGGGGTGTTGGATACTGTCAGATATAGGACAGCATGCTTAGCAATTGGATAGGGGATGTTGGATACGGTCAGATACAGGACAGCATGCTTAGCAATTGGATATGTGCTAAGGGGCAGTTAAGGGTTAGGTTTCTGGGCCTGAGCATCACCAATGAAGAGGATAAACATCTGATGTTAGCACTACAACCCAGCTGCAGGTTTTCCAAGTTGCTGTTGGCCAAATAAATCTTCTCTCTCCTGGATATTGTATTTCTCAGTTATAACAGGGTCTTCCTTGCTTGGGAACATACATCTTAGTATATGCACCACACCACTAAGGCTTGTTACTTTTAGTCGGAAGGCCTACAAAGATGGTCACCATCACAAGATGCAATCTTAGCAAAATCTCCACAGAGACTGCAATATTCTCTCACCCTCTATATGTGGGTTGAGAAGGAACAATTGTGCAAGTTTCCCCACAATGCCTTGTTGCTACTTGTGTTCGATCTGTTTTGTGAACAAGGGGATACATTTAATCTGGCACCTTTCATACCCTGGGGTGTTCCTTGTTTTCTAGATGTTCAACTTGAAACATCCAAGACCTGATTTGCAGGAGTGCTGAGCACTCTCAGCTGTAACTGAGTCAGTGGGTCCTGTGCTTTGAACATATAAGGGGCGTGGCAAGATGGCCAATTTTAGTCTGGTGGGTCCTGCGCTTTTCTTGGCAGGGAGCTAAGATGCCACCCTTTGCCACTGCTCTTGGGTGCCGAGGGCCCCGCTACTAGTCCAGGAAGGTGGTAGAGGAGGGAAGCGGGGGAGGGGTCTGGGTTTGCTCCTTGCTCTGAGTCCCTGCCCCTCTCAACCCTGTGGGTTTCTTACCCTCGTCCCCCTTAGGTGGGATTACCCTCAGTCCTTAGATGCTGGGGGGAAGGGAGTCTCCCTGTCCTGCTGGGCAGGGTCTCCCTTACTCCAATTCTCAAGTCTTCCAAAGCTCTCAACACACCTCCAAGCTCCAGTCCTTCCTCCTCCTCCTCCATCTGCCTGACACAGGGGGTTTTATTAGGTTCCTAACAGGGCCTTAATTGACTGCAGGTGCTCCAATTAACCTGCAGCCATCTTCCCTAGTTTACAGGGAACCACGCCTTAATTAGCCTTGAGCTTATATTTTTCCCTCTAGCACTCTCCCACTGCTCTCTGGCCCTTCTGTATCACAGGGGCTATGAAAATAGTAAGTACTTGGAAAAAATCAGGCCCTAAAGGTCTCAATTTGGGCACCCAAAGTTAGTGGATACATGAAAGTTTTAGTCTTAATCTCTCTGTGCTTCAGTTCCCATTTTCCAGAGGGGATAATACCATTTTAGCTCACATGGGTGTTGTGGTAACATTTGTGAAGCACTTTGATGCTACAGTGATGAGTCCCAGGAAAGCCTATGAGGAAATGATTAATATTGCATTCAGTACAGAGTCTGAATGCTGTAAACAGGCATAGGCCCTCACACTGAATGAGGAGGATACAAAGAAAATATTGAATAGCTACCATTCAGTGAGCACAATCCATCCTGTGGAATAGATTGCTATCCTGATAATAGGGAAGGTAGTATCTGGGCTAGCAAATGGTGAAATATGTTTCTGAACAGAACAATCTTATGTTATAGGTTTGGGCCATGGTAACTAACAGGTAATCCACTACCATACCTTATTACATAATTATATAATTGTACTATCTTTCATTCAGTCACATAATGGCAGCAGATTAAAGCAATTCCTACCTGCTTTATCAAAAGACTGCATGTTATAACTTCGTAGTTCTGCTGGTCCAGAAAGTCTTCCTGAGTTTGGAGGATTAGAATAAAGTCTTTCTTGTCTTCGAGGGGGGAGAGTTGGATCATTATATGGCTGACCTACCATTCAATTAAATCACAACAGGCAGTCTATTTAGCAAAGAGAGTCTCAGGATTTTTGTTAATTAAGTTATATGTCTGCCTGTTTCCTCTTTGGATTTCTTAATCTCACAAAACATCCAAAATTAGACAGTGTATAATATAGGAAAATTGTCTTAAAATAAAATACGAAATGAAAGTAAGTCTCCAGCAGAGCATCCTTACTACTTGCACTTCTGGTAAATAAAACATCGAATTCTACACAGATTTAAAATAAGATCAACGGCTGCTTAAGAATACAATACCAGAAAAATCTTACTATGCAAATTGAACCCAACATGACTGATGCAGCAGCTGATCTACATGCTGGATCCGTGCTTTAGTCAGGAATAATTACCATATGTTTTAAAATATGCAGTATGTTCAATATAAATGAAGTTTGATTTTTTTAAGACTACATTAACATGTACTGTAGCAGGCCATGGTATAGACACTGTCCTACTTCATTAAATCTGGAATACTTAACATTTAAGGCATATTCATCTCATGTACTAAAAGGTGACCTGAAACTGGATTTCTTTTTGAATTGAGCTTGTGCCCTTTACTGTTTTATTATGTATATAGATGGCCTGACAGGTTGTGTCCCCCTCACTTCTCCCATGCTTACGTTGTAACTTAGACATATCAGGAATGTCAAGGTTGGTTGTCCCTGGTTTTGCTAAAGAACACATGGGAGATCAAGAACATTTACTGTGAGCTTTAACAATTTAACTGAAGAGGCAAGGGTGAAATCAACCTCTAACAGAGCTTTCCTTTAATCAAAAAGTAAAACCTGTTTAACTTCAATGACTTTAGCACCCTTCCCCAACCATGTGTTTTAAGCAGTCTGTATATCTGCACTAGGAAAAAAGCTTGTTTTTAACAAAGATACAAGATTTTACAATGTGTTAAACTCTCTTTTTGTAAAAAAAAAAAAAAAAAAACCCACACCATTTCCTAGTGCAGACATACCCTCTATGGGTCAGCTTCTGCTCTCTCTTAGCTCTTGAGATCTCACCATTTCTCCAGTGAACATAGAATCTTCCAGACTAAACACAGCTTGAATTTCTAATGCCTAGAACAAGCCGATAATAAAATACCTGCATTTAATTTAACCCCCAAATGCTCAGTTACACATTATATATATAATCCTATGCTTGGTGCATCACAGAGCCATGCATCTCCGGAGAGGAGCTCCAGGAGAAATCTAAACTCCTCCTGGGACTCACCAATGCACAAGGGGAATGAACCTACTATTATACCGTTCACGTGTTGCAGTATATTCTCCCTTGTGCACAGAAAGCAGGGTTACATGTCAAAGTTAGGTAGAAAGCAGTGACTGTGAATGTCTTTTTAAAATGTAGCTAGTATCTGAATACACATCAGTTTCCAATATTCTTATAATTACATTTTTACAAATATCTGATGGCCCAGGATATTTATTTACCTGATGATGGCAGCATTATCCTACGATCTCTATCCCATGGAGGTGATAGGGACCCAGTGTCTGAAGGTGCTCTGTGGGGATCAGATAACCTGTCAGAGCTCAATTCTCCTCTTTCATTAGCAGCTTCATACATGGCAGGGTTCCCTGCTCCTCTTGATCCTTATTAAAGAAATAAGATATCAGTTTATTCCAACATTTTAATAATGTGTTGCAGCAAACGTCACTGTCTGTCAATAGTAAGAAAAAAAGTGCCAGTACTTTAAGTATGTGGTAGAAGCATAGCTAAAGCAGGACAATTTACCAGGTGAATTGTCATGATTCACCATAATTGCTGCATCAGCATAGTTGTCATGTTTACTGAAAGTGTTTAAAAGGTTTGCTTAAAGAAATAAAAGCTTAATTCCTTAAAAGATGAATCTATAATATATTCAGAGTCCTCTTCTTTTTAAAAAGTATATTATAAATCCTCCCATCATTCCAATCAGTGAAGCTGGTACCTTCTTGTTAAAAGTTCTTCTCAGTGTCAGTCCCCTGCAACTTGAAGGGACATGGTCAAATTAAAAGAAAAAAACTCAATTTTTTTAACCTACCATTCTAGTGAGCAACACTTTCAAAAGCCGGAAGAGAAGAGAATCAAAGGAGATTAGAACATGTAAAGTTGGTTTCACAGATCAGAAGAAATAGGGAAAGAGAGTTTTATTGTAAGTGTGGCAACACCACAAAAAATGGGAAGGAAAACTCAGGAGCTGAGTAGTAGGTGAAACTACTTTATTAATTATTTTATAAAATAACTCTTGTAAGTTGTTCGTTTCCCTTTAAAAAAATCATGATTTGCGCTGAAAAAAATGACACAAATATGAAACTCCATGATGTCATTTTGAGTTTCAATTACCCTTCCTCACTGTCAGCACCTCAAACAGCCTGGAATCTGAAAGTCAAGCTATTTTCTGTCTTACACAAAATTACGAAAAGATTATACAATCAGAACTTAGTTACCAATTTCTTTTAAAATATCTTGCTCGCTCAGCTTCACTGGCTCTGCAGCATGAAATGAATGGTAGGTACTTATTTCTGTCACTAAAATAAATAGGCAGGACTATGCATACATAGTCCCTTTTCACAGTAGAACTGCACTTTAAAGTGAACAAGTTGAAACTTTCATTCCTTCCTACTGTCCCCCAGAGAGGACCAAATCATCCTGGAGACCATTCAACTGTTAATAACTACTGTACTGTTTCTCTTCAAATTTGAAGGTATTTATAATGTAAAGGTGTATAAAAAATTCCAGTTTCTCCTATTTATATAATAAATTATTAATTAAGAGACCAGGTTTTAAATGTGATATAGCTAAGGCCGAACTTTCCATCTTCAGTCTGCATATTCAAAGTTCTAAGAACTTAAATTGTTAACCTTGAAGTGCAGCTGGCCTCAATTATTCATTTTAAAATGCTATTTTAATTGAATTTGATTGTTTAGCATCCTAAGCTGATCTGCTGCTCCTCCTCGTCTTCACAAGTAGAAGGATCTCATCTCCAAGCAAGTTGGGTCTGAATATGTCATTGGGGCAGACACAATAGTAGTAATTGGAGAAGCAGCTTCTGCAAAGAGTAATGAACCAGAGACTTCCACTCTCACTGCATTGTAACAAACTGCTGAGCTCCCTTGCAACACTTCACCTTATCCCCATTCCTCCAGTTCTCTTATGTTTGCAAAGACCACCACAGAATTTGTGAGAGACAGAGGTGAAGGGAGTCACAGATTCTCTCCCTCTCTTACATCTGTGGGACAGTGGTGTTCTCCTGAACAAAGGCTGCCACAGATTTGTATTTTTTTTGTGGGGGGAGGGGGAGGAAGCTAATCCTTCCTTCAAGCCCTACCTCACTTCCCAGAGAGACATATTTCTTGCCAGCCCCATTAGGATTGTCCCACACTGTTTGAGTGCATAGGTGCACTCCCCCTCCCTTTGTCATTTTCAGACCACTATTCTTTGAGCTGGGAGCAGCAGCACTCTCTTCAGGAAACTAATGATGTCACTGACCAACTCTTGTTGCTGATTGTGGAACGAGACTGAGCAGGAATTCTACCTCTGTAAAGGAGGAAAGGCTCAGGCAGCATCCCTGTCTGTCCAAAAGAGACCAAATTTGCCTGTTTCCCTACACTTCTGTACAAAGTGATGCCACAAGGAGTAATACCATAGTTTAGTGATCCAGTATTGCTACCGATATTACATAATGGACTGCTTTAAAAATGAGCGGGAAAATTATTTTCATGTTTATCTGGGGATTTCATTTTATACTGAATTGGCTGTTTTTAAATACTTTTGCAGGTCACCATCAGGAGAAAAAAAGGTAAGATAGATTAATAGAGGAGAATGAAATTCAGAATAGAGATGTTTTGAAATTTGAGAATTGTACCTCTTCCTCCACCACCTGGAAGCATAGGTGAAAGTCTTAAAGGGCCCTCCAATAAGGTTGGCGGGGAAAGAAAAGCTCTTGTTTCAGATGAAGGCCGGCCCATGGGTGAGGGTCCATATGGAGAATGCTCTGGAACAGTTAAAACAAAATATTCAAATTCAGTGTTAAAAACTGCATAAATAGTTTACTTTTCACAATTTAAATTCAAATCTTGGGTCACAAGTGAAATGAATCGGGTGGTTTTGTTATGTGTTCTAGAATGAAACCACGATGTGGTCTAATTTCAAAGGCATTTCAAAATTCTTATTTTAGACTAAATACCCAGTAGAAAAATGTTTAAGTGATCTAGAATAATGTATTCACTGAGGGTCAGCTTTAAAAAAAAAAAAAGAGGTGATAGTTGCATGCACAAATGCTTGCTGTGCTTACAGTTATGAATATGCTGGTGGGGGGGGGGGGGGGGAGGGGGAAAGAGAGCCAAAATATCACCACCACACCACACCTGTAGTATTTTACAATGCAAAAAAAAAAAATGAGTTTAAAAAACTCCACTGTACCTCTGCCAAATGGTCTAACTGGGACATCAAGAGCGTGAGGATCTTTTTCTAAAAGGTCAAATCTAAATTCCATTTCAGTTAATCTGTAAATATGGGAAGAACAAAAAAAGTTACTAACTTTATAAAAAAAATCATACCAGTTTCCTGGAAATCCATCATTCTCCACCAACATTTCTACTGAAATATAAAATTAATCTAGAATTCCATTTCCTAGGTGGTATCAAAGATATTACATTAGCTAATGAAATAAATTACAAAGAATAATTGTCAAACATAGAACAAGTTATCAATTTAAGTATTCCCCAAAATACTCATCTACCTTTATACTGAAAGGTAAAAATTGTAATTCACACATTAACAAATGTTACAAGCCCCAACATCACATTATCCTCGGTTACTGTAAACCTCATTTCAAGGATTTTTAAATGGTCTATTAAATAAGTAAACAGTACTCAATTTTAAGAGTACAAACATTCAGTAATCAATGTTCCTGGTTAATATAGGAGATCATTTAACAAATTCCTGGTGCTATCTTTCTCAAAACAGGTATTTAATTTCAGTATTTTTAACCAGGTCTTACATTCACATACTATAACCATAGTTACATTTCATTTATCCTCTTCTTTCATTACCGAAACAGAATAACATTCTCTCCAACAGTTTCTATGCCAAGATGGACTAATGTTCCTTCTACCATTTTAACTATGGAGAGGAGACTGAAGGTGTACCATGCTACGAACATTGTGCAATCTGATTGTTGCTGGTGCAATTTGTACTGTTGTGTAGCTAAGAAATCACTCCTGCTCAGTCTAGACTCTCAACAGTTCTCCATTTCTACGAAGTATCAGTCACTCAGAAATGTTTCCACCACCCATCCAAGGTTTTCCATTATCACAGAACATTACTAACACAGAGAAGAAAAACAGGACAGGGCGAACAGCTGCATTTCTACAAACCTGTGGACTCATTAGTTAAGGGTATTCTACTGAAAATACATGAAGGACCATGGCATGTTAAGTCATGCACAGTCTGAAAAATAATTTACCCACACCCATTTGTAGCTGTGTCAGTTCTGGTTTTATGCTTTTCCACTCACTCTTTCAGAAAGATCAAAATTACAGCTAAATTATACTGTTCAGAATCTATCCAGTACAGTACTTACTTTTGTCTGTTGTGTGCATTTTCTTTTCTCAGATCATTAAGATGTCTTTCCGCTGCCCGGGCTGTCAGCTTTAGGAAAAAAAACCTACTCAATTAAATATTTCATAACTAGTACACCTCCTGGATTTCCAGTAAGTATTTCTAACTGATAATTTGTAGGCCTGTTGCTCGTAACATGAAACAGGTCTATAAAGTGTAGGGGAAATTATCACATGTACTTTTTAGGAAAGTGCAAAAGGTACATATATTGGATTTCACCAGCAAAAACCAGCATAATATTTTTAATAACCATCCAATAGAAAACACATACTAGGAAACTCTGACTTAGGGGAGGTTGAAACTCCTAGGTATTTTTCACAATCAGTGTAAGTTATTAGCAGTTCCACTGAAGTCAGTTGTTAAAACATCACATGATTAGAATCAGTCTTATTGGGAATCTTAAGAGGCTACACTCCACATCAGATTTTTGCCATATTTAAAAATAGTGCAAATCAAAGGAAGCCAAGAAGTTAAGTTACTAATACTATTGACCTTATAGAATCCAAAACAAGCATTATAAACTTATTGTAATCTTGACAGCAAATGTGTAAACTTAAGATCTCAAGTTAAAACAAGATCAAATAATGTTAGATGTTAATTATTCTTTTTATTGTATTCATAAGAACTGTGCAATAACAATGAAAAAATCCTAAAAAGATTATTTGAAATTCATCCACTATCACTTACCTCTGAAACAAAGAAAGAGCAAGCAAATGAAAAAAATTAAGTTTGTATCTAACAGTGAAGGGAAGAGGGGATGAAATGCGGTCTTTTGTTCTTTTCTTGAATAAAAGAACTTATTTTATCTTACAAAGGGCCAAACTATTCCCACGGTTACATGCACACAACTCTGATTTCAATGGAAGCTGCATGTGAATATTCGAGGTCAGAATCTAACCTTACCTATCCTGACTTATAGATTCTTTAAGGCACACATTAAAGTTGGCCATGGGGAAACAAAAAAAAAATCCACACCATTCAAGTATTATGGCTACACTGCATCTCCAAAATATAAGCAGGCAAGTTTTAAGACGTAAATAAGGTCTATTTGAAAACCTGCAAAAAGAGCTAGGGCAGTATGGGGAGTACCCTAGCACGGAGTCCAATTAACAAGGTTACTCTGAAACCTATCAATAGGATTCTCTCCTATGTAGACCCCTTTGCCAGACTGAAATATTTATTAGGAGTGAGATATTTTCATTTTCTAGTTTAAGGAGAAGAGATAAATGGATTTTGCAATTATATTCTTACAACAACAAAAAAAGCAACTGAGCAGAATGTTATCACAGGACAAAATGTCTTTTACTATTAGATAAAGGCAGAACAGTACAGCCAGGGAATTTATTAAAATGGCATTGAAACAAGGCCAAAAAGTTTATTTACAAAACATCAAACAATTGTTAAACAACATCTTGTTCCAGTGGATTTATTTATATAGCAAGTGATTTTGTAACATTCTGGCAGAATTAAAGAGACTTGGTTTAATTACTACAGCTATTTTATCTGATAAAAAAAACCAAAAGATTTGTCATTCAGAAACCTACTAACAAAATATTTAATGAATAGTTTTGTCTATAAACACTCCACTAAAGTCAAGGTATAAGGCAGTCTGTTCAGCAGTTTGAAGAGCACTGTAATTTTTCCATAACAGAGCTAAGAAATTTTAATATTTGGAACTTACCCAGTTATCGTGAGCTTTTTTCTCATGTGAAGTAATCTATTAGAGAGAGATATGCATTAGAATACATTTAAAATAAGTTATTCATCTGACACAAAAAAATAAATTAAGACTTCAAGGCTATTATCTGATACAAAATGAACAGGCCCCCAGAGTTTAAACTGAGAAGTTATACTCTTACTCAAAAATACCACCCACTTGGTAGTCTTTGCTAATTGTAATTTATATTAAGGTATGTCTGATGACATTAACCAAATAAAGCACTGCAAGCAGCTTTAAAGTGGTAGTTTCAAGTTGAAAGTCAATTGTATTATTCCTGAGTATGGCAAAATGCCAGTTAAGTCAATGTAAAGTATATACCTGACTCTGATAAGAATGAATGGTTCTGTCTAGCTCTTCTTCTAGATCTTTTGCTCGTTGTCTGTAATAAAAATGTTAGAGAATACAATTTTAAATATGAATACCACCACAGATAGTGACACTGCAAATGAATAACTGAGTTTATACACAAAAACACTATTGTTATCTATGACCAAGGCCAACTTAAAAAAGGATGAAGAAGAAGAGGGGAGTGGGGAGGAGAGATAGATCCTAGGCCCTGTTGAAGTGGTGCAAAGAAGACTGGAAAAGGTGGTCTAAGTGACAAGCTGAAGATTTCTCTGGCAAAGGGGAATTCCTCCAGTGATGTAGAGCCCGCAGAGTCAGCCCTACTCTTTGCAGCACCTAGTATAGGCAGTGCATTTTTGCATACCTGCAGTTACCAGCTGCCAGAGTTGCCCCTTGAGGGTCATTAGAGACTTAAGGATTGCTGCAAGTTGCACTAGGGACCAAAATGACCCAGGAAAAGGGTACATAAAAAGGTGATATAAGGCCATTTTTCTTCAACCCTCCCACCCACACCTACATCCTCCTTCAGGCCCTGTGTTAAACACAGCTCAGGCACACCCAAAAGATTAGACCCAAGGTAAGCACAGAATTTAATTATGTTCCACTATCTGCAATATCCTCTTAGAAACTTTAAAATAAAATTTCCCTCCTACTTCATATTTTGCCTAAATATGGAAGGACAGATTGTGTTTTGAACTGAGCATTTTTGTTTACTCTTTAGGGTACTAACATCAAGAATGGCAACATTATTCTAGGAACTGCTTTAATCAATTAACTGATCAGCAGAACCTTCTAAAGCAGTGGTTCTCAACCAGGGTCCGGGGCTCGCTGGGGTGGCCACGAGCAGGTTTCAGGGGGTCCACCAAGCAGGACCAGTCTTAGACTTGCTGGGGCCCACAGCAGAAATCCAGAGTCCCACTGCATGGGGCTGAAGCAGAAGCCTGAGCAACTTAGCTCACAGTGCCCCCGACGGCATGGGGCCCCAGGCAATTTCTCAGCTTGCTACCCCTTAAAGCCGGCCCTGGCTTTTATATGCAGTTATTGTGGCACAGGTGGGCCATGGAGTTTTTATAGCATGTTGTGGGGGGCCTCAGAAAGAAAAAAGGTCGAGAATCCTGTTCTAAAGTCATCAAATTGTGCTCAAAAAGTCACCAACTTCCAAGGGGAGTAAAGGCTGAAGAATCATGCCATACTTTGGGAACCTCAAAGACAAACTATCCTACCTACCCTGCTTTGCAAACAAAATGGAGTGACCCATTATAAGAATACAAAATTTTAGATTCTACACACTGATGGAAGAAGAGAGAGAGCCTGCCACTGGGCACTTGAGTGTCATGTGTATTTATCCTATCACACACACACACACAGTCTTCATTTGTATAAGCTAGGATAACTATAAAAAGCATGGACATTTTTTGTGGGGGGGAACACTATGACAGAATATATTGTGTAACAATGCATTATAATAAGTAAATTTACTAAGTCTCTTGTGGATTTTGTAAACTGTAGAGAAAACACCAACAGTAAATAAAAATTTGTAAGTACCTGTAACTGTTTAGTTCTTCTGCAGCATGATTAATTTTCTCATCTACTTTAGAGAGTTTTTCTTCTTTCTGTAACCGCTCTCTCTCCTCTACTGTTAGTTTCCTTTAAACACACAGACAGTATGGTTAGCTGTACCTCAAATAATAATTTTGCAGTTATTCCCTCAGCAGAGAGATTATTTAGTGTGATATTCACCCACAGAAGCAGAAAGAGGTTGTGGTGTGTAAGTATAGTGTTTTAAAACTTGTTTACATAGCTCATTAGCTATTAATTATTAAAATCTGGAACAGTAAAAGTAATACCAGGACTATCACTGCACTCAAATTAACTCTGATGCACATAAGGCAGCTCTGCAGAACATTCAGCCCACAGGCTAGAATAGGAACCATTAACCATTCTCCCCTACACATGGGTTCTTGGCCACTAGGCTGCATAAATGTTGAACTACTAGTCATGCCCTAGCCTCTCCCCAAATTCACGTATATAGTGCGCTATGCAAACCAATGACTGATGCATATTTAATCATTTTTTCTGAGAAATGTCAGTATAGTTTGCAATTGTCACCTTGCTATTTCACTATTGAATGACTGTCCTAGCCAACTGATAGAGTTAAACACATAATAGGTCTGTTGAAGTTTCAAAAGTGACTTAAGTGCCTTTGAAAACTTTACTATTCCCTCTTCTCTAAACAAAAGTCCAGTTTATCCATAATTACAACATTTTTAAAATGTATTGTACTTCCCAGGATGCTAGTTTTTGCCGGCCCAAAGTTGTGTCGGCCATTGTAAGTAAATACAGGAACCTCAGAGTTACAAACCCCTCAGGAATGGAGGTTATTCGTAACTCTGAAATGTTCATAAAACTGAACAAAACATATGGTTGTTCTTTCAAAAGTTTACAACTGAACATTGATTTTAATACAGCTTTGAAACTTTATTATGCAGAAGAAAAATGCTGCTTTTCCTTTATTTTTTAGTAGTTTATGTTTAACAGTACTATACTAAATTTGGTGGGGGGTTGTTTGTTTTTTTTTCCGTCTCTGCTGCTGCCGCCTGATTGTGTGTTTCCAGTTCCAAATGAGGTGTGTGATTGACTGGTCAGTTTGTAACTCTGAGGTTCTACTGTAAAGGTTAGCTCTTTAACCAGCTGAAATAGGCTATAATTGTCTAATTGGTACAACACACTTTTGCACACAAGCACATTTAAAAATAAATACCCCTCACCTGTTCCCATAAACAGTTACAGTGTTAAATACACAAGAGGTATACAGTCCCTTCTTATACAAGCATTTCAAGATTAGTATCATGGACTTTCCCAATATATTTCATCCATCACTTCAAAAAAAAAAATAAATAAATAATAATCACATCCGAATCAAAAAACAAAGATGTAAAAATCTATTTGTTTATTCAGCTATATATCAGTTTACCACAAATGCTCAGGTTTTCATATGTATACTGTACTTTCAGCCAAATTATAAGGAATCTGGTTGATATAAACTACAGTTATGACAATTATCTTTCAACAAATTGGGAAGTCATTTTGACTTTTCAATTTAAATGTATCAACAAATTTACAATCTTCCCTTAATCAATCATTAAATGCTTAATATAAAAACATAGCGGTATCCGTACCTGTGTAATTTCATTTCATTTTCTTGATATAGCTCTGTCATTACTTTAAGCTTTTGTTGAAGCTTTTGAAGTTCACTTTCAAAATGTGCATTTTCAGACTGCAAGGAGACTTGCTCACGTTGGAGGTTTTCAATGCGTTCTGTCAAAGTTAGAGACAGCTGAATAACGTGCACACTTTATGAAGTTAAAACAAAATCAGAACATTTTAGAAAGTAAAAAACATTGCAAGTCAAGGACTTTAAAGTTTTATTAATGAAGGCCTGTTTGACATTTGGGAAATAACGTAGGGAAACATCGCCCTACAGTCCACAGAATACGGTTTAGTTTTTTGCATTGTGATATATTTCCACAGACTGCACAGTTGAGAAACAGTATTGCTTACTGGTCTTAGTACAGGACAGGGAGTCAGGAGTTCTGAATACTTCTTCCAGATTTAACACATACTTGATATGACTTTGGCTTAGTTACTTAAGCTCTGTTTCCCCATCTGTGGTTGGAATGGCTCAGAAAGTCAGAACTTTTCTCTGGAGGATGCCATTTTGAGATCCATAATCTAAATTTTTAGGTTTTCTATTATTATTATTTGTTCAAGTGTGCTCAAGATGACAAGCAGCATGAACAGTAGTTCACAGAAGTGTAGAAATGCCCCATTCATCCCAGTTGGGGTTAACCCTGAAGCATCATGATAGTTAACAACATGGAGCAAGGAGATAATTTAAATGTCAATCTCCTTATTTATTCAGTTGCAAACCATGCTTCCTTTCAATATACTTAAGCCTCTGAAGTTCAAAGGCTCGAATGGGGAAAAAGGCTACAGTCAGTCTAGAAGGACATCAATTTGATGGGTCAGCATAGGAGACCCTTAAAAGTTGTCGGGGGAAAAACTGCTGCATTAGAGGACAGAATAATCCAAAAGGCCACCAGGCATATGGCATTTTAAATTGAGTCCAATTTTCTGTTGATAGTGTTGTTATTTAGGTTAAAGGCATTGGCTAATTAGATGCAAGATGTATACAGTTGCACTAATTTTATTTTAAAAATATATTTCCTTAGAATGAAATCTTTGTAGATTTTGTCCAAAGGAAAAGAGGTGACTATGTACTTTCCAGGCAAGAATATTTTTAGAAGAAAGTAATGTTGTATTCCAACTAAATATAATGAACTAATCGCTTATATTATATAATGAACTTTATTAGCAATGAGTTTCACAATTAAAGATACCAATGAAAGCCATTAAACATATTTTCAATAGCAATATTGAAAAAAGATTTTCAGTATATTTATTTTTAGTGGAAACTGTTGCATTTTCAACAGTGAACTGGGGTAACAAATTAAAAATGGCATATCAAGTCTATATTATTGCTGTAGTTTTAGCCACTTAATCTTTTAAGACCAAATTTTTAGAACTAGTGAAGTCACTTCAATTCAGATTTAATGGATTTTTAGCTATTACTGTAAACTTAATATTTTTTCCACAAAAACTGAATGAATAAGCCAGAGTTATTTAAGGACATGAATAGCTTCTCTTATTTAAAAATATCCGTTATTTTTAAAACAAAATAATCTAATTACCTGTAAGTTCTTCTTTAGCTTTATCTTCATCTGCCAGTTTTAAATATACTTGATTTCTTTCTACTTCCAGAGTTTTTAAACAAGCATTTAACTATATTAAAATAAAAAAGGAATTAAGTGTGAGAACATTACTGCAGGAAAAAGACTCAGTTCTACTTGACTGTATTTCTCAGATAATACAATACTAAAGTCAGAATGTTATGTTATGGCTGTAACGTTAATTGATTACTGCTTGGAAATGCAATCAGCTAATACCCTATTTCAGAAGGACAGGGCAGGTTGCATTCATTCTAGACCTGGCAAAGAAAAAAAGTGTCAATTAAGATTGTTTAAGTATGGTAAAAAATATTTAGAAAAAACAGACACCCTGAACTTTGTTTACGTTGATACAATTATATATGTCCATTAAAGTACATGCCATCATGGTGTTACATCTAGTAAATAGCAGTTTTCTTTATTCCTCGTTTTTATTCTGACCTCTTCCCTCCAAACTTTTAAAATCAGTACATCATAAAGTGTGACTACATACCTTAGCAGCATAGATCAACTTCTTTATAGTTCGTTTCTGCTGATCATCTAATTAAGAGCATAAAAAAAAGAACAGTGAAATCACAAACAGCACTGTGATATGTTTTGACTGGAATGTACACGTACTACTCCTAATTACTGAATATATTTTTCATAAAAATTGTGCTTAGTGTGGTGGAAGCCAAAGCTAAGTGAGAGTGACACTCTCAGTGTGGAAAGGAAAAATTAAAGCTGACGCTCTTCTGACATATTAACACAGGCAGATTTCTTCCCCAGCTGATTAAGCATCAGCTGAGCTGACTGAGGAAAAAATGGCAATGCAGGATGCGTTTAGTATTCTAGAGGAGCACATTTGCAAACCATATTAGAATGCAGGGTTAAGAAATCCAGCTTCTACCTTTAACAAATTAATTTAATTACAAGCTTTGTGTAAGGTCTAGTTATTCTCTTTTCCCAATTAACCTTTTTTTTTTTTTTTTGGGGGGGGGGGGGGGGCTTAGAAAAGAAGTTGTCCAGATTGCACCTAAAAGCTCACCATTTTCTGTTATATCAACATCCCAGTGGTTATCTTCAGTGTTGTCTTCTCCTATTGCTGTGCTCCAGTCTTTCATCTTCAATAAACATTCTGTCAATGACTAGATATTACCAAAAATAAATAAAATTAAAATCCAAAATGAAATACAGGCAGTGAAACTTTGACTACCACACCAAGTCATATTTTCAACTTTTTACTGTACTTTATTAAAGAACAGGAGTACTTGTGGCACGTTAGACAGACTAACAAATTTATTAGAGCATAAGCTTTCATGGGCTACAGCCCACTTCATCGGCTGCATAGAATGGAACAAACATATAGTACACACACACACACAAAGATAAACTGGAAGTTGCCATACAAACTGTGAGAGGCTAATTAGGTAAGATGAGCTATTATCAGCAGGAGAAAAAACACTTCTGTAGTGATAATCAAGATGGCCCATTTAGACAGCTGAAAAGAAGGTGTGAGTTATCATAGAATATCAGGGTTGGAAGGGACCTCAGGAGGTCATCTAGTCCAACCCCCTGCTCAAAGCAGGACCAATCCCCAATTAAATCATCCCAGCCAGGGCTTTGTCAAGCCTGACCTTAAAAACTACTAAGGAAGGAGATTCTACCACCTCCCTAGGTAACGCATTCCAGTGTTTCACCACCCTCTTAGTGAAAAAGTTTTTCCTAATATCCAACCTAAACCTCCCCCACTGCAACTTGAGACCATTACTCCTTGTCCTGTCCTCTTCTACCACTGAGAATAGTCTAGAACCATCCTCTCTGGAACCACCTCTCAGGTAGTTGAAAGCAGCTATCAAATCCCCCCTCATTCTTCTCTTCTGCAGACTAAACAATCAAAGTTCCCTCAGCCTCTCCTCATAAGTCACATGTTCCAGACCCCTAATCATTTTTGTTGCCCTTCGTTGGACTCTCTCCAATTTATCCACATCCTTCTTGTAGTGTGGGGCCCAAAACTGGACACAGTACTCCAGATGAGGCCTCACCAATGTCGAATAGAGGGAAACGATCACGTCCCTCGATCTGCTCGCTATGCCCCTACTTATACATCCCAAAATGCCATTGGCCTTCTTGGCAACAAGGGCACACTGCTGACTCATATCCAGCTTCTCGTCCACTGTCACCCCTAGGTCCTTTTCCACAGAACTGCTGCCTAGCCATTCAGTCCCTAGTCTGTAGCTGTGCATTGGGTTCTTCCGTCCTAAGTGCAGGACCCTGCACTTATCCTTATTGAACCTCATCAGATTTCTTTTGGCCCAATCCTCCAATTTGTCTAGGTCCCTCTGTATCCTATCCCTGCCCTTCAGCGTATCTACCACTCCTCCTAGTTTAGTATCATCCGCAAATTTGCTGAGAGTGCAATCCACACCATCCTCCAGATCATTTATGAAGATATTGAACAAAACCGGCCCCATTCTATGCATCCGATGAAAGTGGGCTGTAGCCCAGGAAAGCTTATGCTCTAATCAATTTGTTAATCACACTTCTTGTCAACTGTCTAAATGGGCCATCTTCATTATCACTACAAAAGTTTTTTTTTTCCTGCTGATAATAGCTCATCTTAACTAATTAGCCTCTTTCCAACTTGTGTGTGTGTGTCGGTCTATCTTCTTACTATATGTTCCATTCTATGCATCGGATGAAGTGGGCTGTAGCCCACCAAAGCTTATGCTGTAATAAATTTGTTAGTCTCTAAGGTGCCATAAATGCTTCTGTTCTTTTTGCGGATACTGCCTAATACAGCTGCTACTCTGAAACCTGTACTTTAGTAATTTCTCATTAATAAATCAAATTAGCTGGCTAGCTATCTAGGATTCTACGTGTTCCACTACTTACCAATTAAAACACAGGCAAGAAGCACTACAACAGGGGGGCACCACTAAAGGTTCTTAATGATGCTCACTGGGATATTTGAAGAGTTCTGTATTTTTTATACATATAAAGTGTCTTCAAAGTGAAGAATCTTTTAGACTGCAAATATTCCTATTTATTTCAAATTTTAGATTCTAGGAGTCTGTAGCCTTTGGACAGTGTCCCAATGGACTCAATGAATTCAAACCTCAACCCAAGCAGCTTTGTTTGCCCAGGGAGGGTCGGGGGGTGGAGGAGGAGAATAAGAAAAACTAAAAATAAGTTAATGCAAGAAACAAATTGGGACAGCTTAACATCTTTTCACCCTAATATTTAGAATCTCCTATAACAGAAAAAAGTCAGTGTTAAATACAGCAATCTACCTTGACTTGACTTTCCTTGTTTTTCAGAGCTTCCTCCATATCTGCTTTAGATAATTCAAAGATTTTTGTTTGTTCATTTAATTCACTAAATCGTTCACCCCATCCTTCAGCCTCTTGTAACAGCTTAAAAAAAAAAAAAAAAAAAAAGTGCACCAGATCAATAAAGAATCTATCACAAGTTGAAAATCAGGAATAACCTCTCAATGTTTTTCACATTTCAACAATAATTAGCCATATGTACACTGTACTGATAGGCAGCATATCTCGGGTGAGTGTCTTGAAACCCCACCACCACCTGTCCATGAGAACTAAACAGAACTTAAGATTGTGTAATGTTGAAGAGCTCAGTGAAACATTTTATATTATTGTCCTGTTCTCTAAATTATTGTCAGCTGCACTAGCTCTCTAGTGTAATTAGTTACTAGGATATCTAAAAGCAAGTTTAGCTGAATACTTCAATCATCGTTTTAGATAAAACATACAGAATGTAAAGAAGCCAATTAAAATAAAATATTGAGTTTTTGGCTAATCATCCACAGATTCCTGGGAATAGGTTGAAGTGAAAAGACATTAATTTCCCATACTCTCTCCTTAAGCTACAGCACTTGTTCTCTTTTCACCCTAACAAAACAGAGAGGGAAGTGTACCATTAATGCTTTTATTTCTATCTTGGAAGTTCTCTATTGAATAAAATAAATGGGGTAGCTATTTAATTCATCACATAACCCACAGATTTTTTCCTAACAATTATTTTTTTCCACCTAATACCATATGGTTAAAATATATTTAAAGGGACATATTGCTACTAATCAAAGTCATGAGTACTCTATGTAAGCAGACCCTAAATACTAAAAATACTGTAACTAGCCTTTTGTTAAATTAGAAGGGCAGCCAGGTTGTGCAAGTTTTGGGACTACATTAACAATTTTACAGGAATATTTCATTTTCAGAAGTGTCCTACAAAAAACAAGGAATAGACAGACTTCCAAGTTTGTTAAAATAAATGGAATTGCAATATGTCAGCTAATTAAACCACACCTGCATATTATGAGAACTAAAGCAAATTTGTTCTTTAAAAACTGCATATTTAATATAAAAACCTCAAGAAACTATTAAATGAATCTTTTGAAAGATTCTGAGAGCCTATTGTTCATCCTCCAGCAGGAATCTTTAAACATACCAGGTTTACAGAGTGGGGTGACTCATCCATTTTAATCAAAGAACACTCAATTCTGTGTAGATGGCGTTAAACAGGGGAACCCTCATGCAAGAATACAAGCAAGCCTAAACTTAAGCTTGCCAAAGATAAGCAATGCAAAGACGTAATAAAACAGAGGTGGTGTATAAACCTGGAAGGATTAGATTTTTATCAGAATCAGTAAATGTCCATTTCACCATACACACAAAACAAAAAGGTATTTCCATTGATAACAGAAATTTACAGAAAGCCAAAGAAAGAAAACTGTTGCCTGAGAACAGAGTTTGATTTAAGATTATTTATTCTGTATATCTTGACAATTTATAATTTAAACAGTTAAAGCTTTAACTTTTTGAATCTTAACATCTGCTTTCATTAGATATTGTCTGATTCCCCCACATTTACATTTTCACACCCATGGGAAAATAGAAAAAAATGCTTAAAAATAACCATTGATATTGTCCATCAAAATTATTTTAAAAATATACAAAATTTAATTCTGCCAAGCCTATTTATGTGATAAAATGAAGTGAATGATAACAGTCACCTGACACAGTATGTGCCCTTTCAAGTAATAAAAGTCATACACTAGTCAAATTAGACAAGTGAAAAATGAAGAGAAAGTTTTCATTATTCCAACACTGCCATCATCACTAAATCCCCTTCACTGATAAGCAACTAAACTTTAAAAATACATTCTAACAAGAGTCAAAGAAACAGTGCACCAAAGCTGATTCTTGTACACCGTAAGGATTATAGCAGATGGAAAGGACAAGGATTTTGCAGTGAGCTAAGGCAGCACGCTTTCCTAGCGTTCAAATTAGAAAAAAAAAATAGTATAATAAATGTTTATAAACAGTTGTCTTGTTCAAACTAAGATGTTTAATCCTGTCTTTGGCATATCATTAAATCTATTCAGAGGGTAGCAGATCTGTTATAGTTATGGCAATGATGTGCCAGAGGATTATGACCCATTTGTGTATAAGACCAAGGAAGAAAGTACACTGATTTCCATGAACAAAAACACACTTTTGTTACCTTGTGAGTGAAAATGAAATTCCATCTTTAAAAAAGGTAAGAAAAAAAAAGGATGTGTATATTCTACTAAAGAAAACCAAAATTATTTGCTTACAATGTTTTCATTAGGGAAGAAAAACAAGCAAGACAGACAATTTTCATTTCCTTTTCTGATTGGTCTATTGGTAAGGTCTTTTTCCCCCCCACAGGGAGTACACCAAATATGATACAAGAGTGAAAGAAGTTGCAGCATGCACTAGCTCAATTCATTAAAAATGTGAACACAAAACCCTAAGTACACTAGATGTCCTGATCTTGAATGTGTCATGCAAGTTTATTTTACCTAGAAGGAATTCCAAAGTGATTACTGTAAAGGAGTCAATTATGACCTTATGGAAACAGATTTTGATGTTTGTAAAATGATTAAAGTTACGTCATTTTCAACATTTAGTATTGTCTTACTTAACGGTCCCTTTCTACAGAGGAGAAGCAGCAAAAGAACGTCCTCATTCAAACTCCCCTGGGTTCAAAAAAGTGAAACAGCAACAAGATATTCATGTCACAAAGATAAAAAGACGCTGGTCTGTTCACTTTTTTAATTAGGCACTGCTTCTCTGACCTTAGTATATTATTTCGAGTACAATAAAGGGTACAATTAGGAATAAAGACCAAAGGAATGGACTTAAAGCAAATAAAGTACACGAGAATAATTTTCTTCCAGTGGTCTCCTCTTTTCCTTATAACCAAGTTACCTGATCCAATACCCTCTCTACAATGATTACTTCCAATCAACTACTTCTCTGTTCACTCTTGCATACGACATATGTTTGTCTGTTATACCAACAACTTAACATATCAAAAAATGAATCTCATCTTCTACCACCACCACACTTCCATTCTCACTGTTGATAACAGAGATTTGTGAGAACCAGAATTTCCCTTCCACGGAAAATTTTACATTTCCAAAAATACTGTTCTGAATTAAAACAGAAAATCTGATATGAAAAGTTTTCTGTCGAACATTTTCAAAAGATTCCATTTCAGAAGAACCAAAATGGAATTTGTTTAAATGGTCCCGGCAATCCTAGCACCCCAGCTCTGCAGAAGCCCTCCTGGTGGGCTGTGGTGAAGCCAGGAAGTCCTGGAAGCCCAGGTTCCCCAGCAACTAACCAGGCTGGCTGCCAAGAAGCCCTTACTCCCAAGCTCCCCACCAGGCAAGCTGCCAAGGAGCTGGGCAGCTGAGCAGGAAACCAGGTAAGTTTCTGGCAAACTGGTTTCTGTCAAAGTCTATATGTTTCAGCAGAACATTTCAGTTCTGACTAATTGCCATTTTCGGATAGAAAAATGTTTTGTTGGAACATTTCTGACCAGCTCTAGTTGATCATTCCAACATCCTACCCACCACCCACGCCTGCAACTTCTGTGTCATTCTGAACTCTATTCTCTTCTTTTCTACTACAAAGCTGATGAACCATTCCTATTCTGGTTTATAGCAACTAAAATCCTTGTTCACTGCCTGGTTTATCTCTTGCCTAACTACTCCAGTGCCCTCCTATCTGGCCTCCCCACTTCTTACAATGCTCTCCTCCATTCCATCCCAAATGCTCCTGCAGTAACAGTATTTTCCTCACCTGCCACTTTGCTAAGTTATTCTCCTATTTAAACCCTGTCTTTGTCATCTGAATCAAGTTCAAGCTTCTGGTGCCCACTTTTGTGGAGTACCTCAACTATGTACTTGCCTAAATCTTTATTCTCATTTCTTCCAAAAACCTCTTTTTTCTCAGCAAAACCTTTTCCCATCCCCTTTGTATCCTTCTCTCAATATCAGTGTTGCTTTTTTTCATGCTGCCCTTTATGGGTGGAACAAGTATTTCACACTTTACTTATTAAGGTTTTTTCTCTCTCTCATGCACATTCCATAAAGCCTTTTGAGAGAGAGAGCGCAAGAGAGATCCAAGGAAAGTATTTAAAATAAGTTATTCCAAAAAATAAATAAATAAATATATATGTGAACATATATCCTGGAGATTTTGTGTGTGGTGTGTGTGTGTAAATATATATACACACACACGATCTCCAGGATCATTTGGTTATGTTCAATTTGATGATGAACTCCTTCGAGCAGGGATCATATCTTTAGTTATGTGGAAACTGCCATGCATATCTACAATACTACATAACTAGGAAGAACTTACCTGTTTCTCGCTTTCCTGAAGATGACAGTTTTCCTGTATTGCATCTTGGACAGACGTCTCAAGTCTCTCTTTATTAATGTGAAATACTTTTAATGTGGTCTTGGCCTAAATGAAATAAAAAAAAGCAAACTGCTTCAACAGTATATCTGAAGATCCAATAGCTTGTTGCTGTTTACAATAAATTTCTTGGCAGTGTATGTTTTATAATTGTGTACTAACAAAATAAAGTGTAATTGTGCTTTTCAATTAATGGTAACTGCCACGCTCTTTTGTAAAATGAATCAGCTACCACACACCAAAAAGTTGGACTGAGCCCTAGAAGACTGTTATTGATATTCATGTCAAGTCATGCCTGTGAGTATTTATTTGTGATGAAACAATTTATTTTAGTAATTGATTTTCCTAATTTGAACAAAAACCTCAGATATTTGACTTACTTCTGCCACTTGTGACTGGATAGATTTTGCTTCACTTTCTAAAGACTCCATTCTTCTCTGTATTTCCGCCATCTGCAAAGCCGTAATATTTATTTTCATACAAGTTCTTCCAGGTTGAAACTTTTTAGCCAAACTAATTTTATGAGATAAATTTTCAGAAAATGCTACTAAAATGTATTCCTGTAAAAATACTTATTTTTAAATTGTAAGGATTGTCTTTGCAGGCCCGACAATACCAGTTTTCTTTTCAAAGATTTTCCTTAAGGAAGATTTTTTGACTGTACGATAGTGACATATGATTACATACTACTATCTTCTTTCTACCTTTCTTGTAACATACTGTTTCTTTTTACAATGCTTATAATATGTATACTACATCCACTGTCTGAGATATTGGAGAATCATTAAATAATTAATCTATTTCCCTAAAAGTACTTTAGGAAAAGATTTTCCTATGCAGGATATTTAAAACGTCAGCTGAGTGGGCCTCCAACTATTACTCCTTTACAGCTTTTAAAAAAGTTTAAGTGTTCACTGAATTTAGCACTCTTACAAATCCCTTTGTCAATTAGTTCATAAAGTAACAGCACTGGCATCACAGGCAAGGAAGAGACCATAATTCATAAGAGCTCTATGGTTGCTTTTATACAGCCCGATAAACAGCAGTTCTGTGAGCTTCCCTAATTACATAGTTGTAGAAGTTATTCTGAGAGGTACTTCTCTCTTGATAGCAACCACAAAATGCTTGTTTCAGCATTATCTACCCAGACAAGACTGCCCCCCATTTCCTGAATATCCCCAAGATAGAACCAAGTTACTTTGGCTGACAATAAGCATCAATGGTAAACAGCACAACATTGTAGGGGAAGGGGGAAAACCAAGATTAGCTGTTGATAAATGAGCCAAAAAACACAGCATTTTTGGAGGTTTTGCGAAAATGATTCCCCCCACTCCAGCACAGAAAGTTTTGTTTTCTAAATAAAAAGGAAGTTAAAATTCAGAGAACCTTCTCCAAATCATACATTCTAAAGTTTATTTGGATGCATTAAATAAACTGCAAAGAAAAAAAAAGTTTAAAAAAAAAAATCACTGACTTGTTAAACAAGTCTTTTCTCACCCTTGCTATATAGGACATTCAACGTACAGCTGTATCTTTAGCTCCTAAATACTTGCATGTTAGTTCCTGAACCTTAACTACCTGGGATTGTCTTGAATGATTTTAAAAAACAAAATTAAAGTTCAAAAAGGAATGAAAAGACCGCCTTTTCAGTAAATGTCTTCTCAGAGAAATAACTCTGATTATACACAAAAACATGTTCCAATTTTTAAAACCAAGTTATCTGAATATGTTTAAAAAAGTTTTTTCTGAACCTTACCAAGTCATCCTGTTCTGATCGCTTAGACTTCTCTTCTTCTAGCTCTTTTTCTAAATTCTCTATTTCATCCTTGAGTGCAGTGTTTGACCTGTTCAGTTTTTCACAGGTTGCCTAAAACAAGTCATTTTGATAGTTAACCTATAGAAATTTACAGTTATAAAGTAATTAAATACAGGTGTGTATAGTGTATTTTTATGGAACACTTTAATAATCTATAGAGGTGCAATAAGGCCTCAAAAGTTAAGTTTGCATTGAGATCTGTGTTTAAAGTGGGGATTAAATCACTTACATATGAACAGTCTTATTCCCAACCTTACAATATTTACTCCAAGTCCAGAATGAATTTAAGTAAATTTGTCAGTTTATTAGTTATTTACTTTTGAATAGCCCCATAAGAAGTATGGTGAGACTACACTTTTTTGGAGTCTTCTATCAAATAAGTTCCTGATTTTTGGGATCTAAAAATGGATTCATTTCTAGATTACAGCAACATGTAAGACACATTCTATTTTAAGTTATTAGCGTGTATTTTTGAATCAGAACTATTAGTCAATATTTAAAATTTATGCTGCAATATGTCATACAACATTTTTTCAAAATACTGTGATACACATTTGATTCTGCATCACTCATTTGAGGGGTTTGCATAACAATTTTACAGGATGTCACCTATAGGAAGCAGGCAGAGAAAGCTATCTGCATAATTATTTGCTCCAAAATTAATTGCCTGCATGTCTGATTTGCTCCATAATTAATTTCTCTGCATAACTGACCCACTCCATAATTAATTCACTGTCTCATTTGGTAATGGTTTGAGAAACCCTGGATTAGCAAAACAATTCCACAGATTTAAAAAAGAGTACACTTCTGACACCTTCAGTTTTCCTGAACCACCACCTCAAATTATACAAAAAAAGCCACTTTGTTTCTTTTAGTCTTTTTTTACCTCAATATGTGATGTATTTGTTGACTCTTTCAGAAGACTGGCATCCTTTAGAGATGATTCTAAGTCTTCGTACTGAAAGAGATACATGATATCAAAATGTGTGTAAAATCAAAAGTTGTTTTACAAAATGAAATTAATTTATGATTAAGTTTAAAACACTAAGGGATGGATTGTTAAAAGTATTTAGGCACACTAGACCTTAATTCCCAATGGGCGTTAGTGGGATTTTCAGAAGGGCCTACATGCATCTTTAGGTGCCTAAGTATCTTTAAAAATCTGGCCCTACGAAGGTTAGCACAGAGCATAAAAGCAAGACGTCTAGGTGTACATTTCCAATGCAGCGTATTGTACTATAATTTAAGAGGAAAATGCATTGAAATCTGTATCACATTTAAAAGAATTTGAACCAAGGGGAAAAAAAACACAAGTATTTCAAGATCATCATAAATATAAGCTTTTGATATTTAAGTTTAAATAAAGCTTCTGTTGCTTAAAAGAACAACAATGGCTCAATATGTTAAAAACATACATTGGAGGAGGAGAACAAAAATAAGAGTTACCTCTTTCTTCTGGAGACTAAGTTTTTCAAGAACTTTGCATTTGTCTTCAATTAGTTCAGCAACTTTACTGGCAAGCTGTTTTTCCCTTCCTACAAAGGACAGTAGCTCCATTTTGTAACATTCAAGTTATTAAAAACTATCATAAAAATAATTTAAAATTACCAGTGTAGCTAGAAACATGCTCCACAGAAACAATAAGGAAAGTTAACTTACCTACATAAAATCTGCTTCTAACCTGAAACAAAAAGAACAAGCACTGAAATTTGTCTATAATGTTACACAGCTTGCAAGGATAACACTATTCAGTTTTTAGCCTCATCTTCTCTGCATTTTTTACTTAACGTTACAATGTTTACATAATCTACAGTAACTGTGGTTCTTTGTGATGTTGTAGTCAGCATGGATCCCACCATAGGTGCACATCCATCTCACATATATGAAACTGGAGGTGTTTTTGAATAGCAGCATCTGTTGGGGCTGCGCACAAGTTCTGTGCCTCCTCACGCTCCCATACAAGCCCATAAAGGGTGGGGAAACCACACACACACACCCTGATTCTCTCACCATTTAAAGTAGTGATGGCTAAGGAATCTGAAAAGCAGGCGTGGAAGGTGGGTTGTGGGATCCACACGGACTATGTTCATCGTGAAGAACAAGAGTTACTACAGGGAAGTAACTGTTCTCTCTTTTTTTGCGTATTCATCAGTGTGGAACCCATTGTAGGTGACTGATGAGCAATATTATCCCTAGATAATAGAAGTGAGGTGTTTTATTTGTATCAGTCAAACAGTGATTGAAGTACTGCTCCTGAACTTGGTATCTGACCCAGCTGCCATGCCTACAGCATGTTTAACAAAAGTCAGTGGGTTGCTCCATATTGCAGATCTCAGAGACTGGCAGGAAGAAGATGCTGCCAGTTCCCAGGTGGAGTATGCCTTGACATTCAGAGGGAGAGCATGTAGCTTTTCCTCCAGGTGTTGAGGGAGGTTTCAGAAAAAAATAACGGCAAGGTAACTGATTCTTCAGATGGAATTGCGAGACTGCCTAAGGCATGAACTGGGGTGTGGTCTCAGTACCATCTTGTCTATATGGGAGGATGTGCAAAGTGTAGAGTTGCCACCTGTCCAGATTTTCCCAGGATCGTTGCTTTTCTTTTTTCCCCCACAGGTAGCTGTCCTGGGAAATCTGTAAAAGTGCTCAACACACACTACCAACTGTCCAGTTTTATGGGCGAAGGATCATCTCAGATGTCCTGTATTTTTGTACCTCAGAAGTGGCAACCCAAGTAAGGTGGTGTGGCCATGAGGGCTTGGAGCTCAGTGACTCCCCATGCTCAGGTGATGGCAACCAGAAAGACCGTTTTGATGGTAAAGAAATGTACTGAGCAATATGACAGTGGTTCTAAAGGAGTCAACCTGTGGAACTCGCTGCTAGGGGATGCGGTGAAGGCCAACAGTATAACTGGGTTTAAAAAAAAAAAATTAGCTAAGTTCATGGAGGATAGTCCATCATTAGCTAAGATGGTCAGGGATGAAACCCCATGCTCTAGGTGTCCCTAAACCTTTGACTGCCAGAAGCTGGATGACAGAGGATGGATCACTCAACAATTGCCCTGTTCTGTTCATTCCCTCTGAAGCATCTGGCACTGGCCATTGTTTGAGGTCAGCATACTGGGCTACATGGACCATAGGTGTGATCCTGTATGGCCATTCTTATGTTCTTATGAGTCTCCAGGAGTTTTAGAAGGACAATGTTGAGGGCCCACGTGGGAGTCAGTCTAACCAGAGAGTAAATATGAAGGAGGCCCCGAGGAAATTTGGATATTGTCAAATGTGAGATCCCAAATGAGCGTACCAGAGCATGACACACCAATATTGCTGCAAGGTGAACCTTGAGAGAGAGTTGAATGCTATTCCAGCATATTTCAGGTGCAGCAGGTAGTTAGGGAACTTCAATATCAAGGCCTCTACCGGGTCTAGATCACATTGGGCTGTCCATATGAAAAATCTTTGCCATTTTGAGGAGCAAGTATTCCTAATGGAAGGTTTCCCACTTTGTATGAGGACTTCCCGAATCTATAGGCGGCAGTTTCTACCAGCAGTGCTCAGTCAGCCAACATCCAACACATCAAGTGCAATGACTGCATCTGACCCTGGTTCTGAGATGATATGTTCAGACAGGTTGGGAGATATGAGTCTGTCCTTGTGGAATGACACCGAGTTCTGCCCAGAGTCCACAACTCCGTGTTTGGAGCGCCCTCTCTCAGTCCTGGGACTTGGGTACTGGAGGTGTTGAGATCAGTGATGAGTCTTTTCTTGGTGCCCTCTTCTCTGAACTGGTCTTTGGCATCACTTGTGGCTAGACTGGGCAATAAATAAAATTGGCTTGTCTGTTAGCAGTACTACGTAGCTTGTCTCCTCAGAATCTGATGAGACCTTCAGGCCATGTTAAGTAGCCCTGTACTGGGAGATCTGTACAGGTGGATCTAACTGCCAATACTCAGTCCAGATGGGTCAATTCTAATCACAGTGGTCATATGTTGAAATATCAAGAGTTCTGAAGGTTTGTAGAAGATTTTGAGAAGGTTCAGCAAAACCTAGTGGGTTAGACATTCACAGATTAGAAGGAACAGAGAGGATTGCAGTCACTCAGCCCTTAATGCCCTTGTACAGGAGTACAAGGTGTATGCAGTGTAAACAGACACTATTGTTAAAAAAAGGGGGGGGGGGAGAAAGGGGAGGAGGAGAGACTTGAATGCAAGAGGTTCATTAACACCTACAGTGGGATCTATACTGTCACATACATTAAGAAGAAATATCCTTACGTTGATAAACTTATCTATCCTTGATCCTAGCTGTCCTGCATGACTGAGAGACCCTAGGCCAGTGATCCTCAATTAAAGTGGGCCAATTTCAGAATTTTATTACAAGAGGCGGGCCATTTGCGAAGAAGGCTGACAAAAGTAAAACCACTTCAGCTGCCAATAAAGACTTTGATTGCAACATAAGTATTAGTGTTTCTACCTTTTAACAAAGATTATAAATCAACACAATTACCTGTGTTTGTTACAATCTTTAGCAAGCTTTTTGAAGAGTGGTTTGTAGGTCAGGGCAAGGCACATGCAGTTGTGAAGATGCTTATCTATCAGGTGATTGCGGTGTTGGTCTCTTATAATGTTCATGATAGAAAACCCAGATTTGCAGAGGTACGTTGATCCCAACACTATTAAAAGATAGATGGCTAGATTCTGACAATTCTCAAACAGGTCAGCATATTGAGTCCACAAATCACAAAGTCCCACTTCTCTGAATTTTGCCTTCAAGACGTCTGAGCTCTGGAGCCTTACAATTTCTAATTGAAAGGCAGTTTCGTTAATTGAATCAAGAATGTTCTGTGCTTCAAAAGGGCACAGTCCATTGGCAGAGACAACAAATGGATCACAAACAAATAAAAGCAAATCCTTTGGAATTTTAAAATTCTCCACTCGCATTTTAAAATTTTTTGATCAGATTGCTTAGGAATTCTTGCACCGTTTTCATTGAAGTTTTATCTGTAGCAACAACACACAATGTAGGGAAGTGCAACATCTTTCCTGTCAAAGATTTCAAGATTCCTCTGAAAGGCACACCCTTTTTCAAACAGATCCCTGGAGGAAATTCAAGTGATCAGTAATATCACACAGAAAAGCTACCCATGACATAGAGGGGACATCATTCATAAATTCCAGGAACTCACAAGCTTATTGGTCTTGTGGTTTGAAAGAATTTCTATTAATTCTTTTCGAAACACACAAAACCTCTCTAATATGTGCCCCTACTTAACCAGCAAATGTCGTTGTGCGGCAACAGGACTGTATTCAGCTGAAATGTCTTGTAAAAGAGCTTTAAAATAATTTTGCAAGCTAGAAGTTGAGCATATGTAGTTCACTAATCTCATCACAATACTCATTGTTTTTTTCAAGTCTCCAGACAACTTACCGCACAGGACAGACTGGTGAATGATGCAGTGAAGTGTATTTAATGAAAGATGTATCACTGCCAACTATAAAAAAAAAGCCCTTCTCTGTCCCTGACATGGAGGGACTTCAATCTGTAATAAGCAAGTTTACTTTCTGCAAATCTAAGCTATTTCCCCCCCGCCTCCCGAAAAAAGAGCCTTTTACCTTTCAAAAGTGATCTCTCCTGTGGTGTAGCTTTCCAATGGTACTAAGCAAAAAAATTCTTCCTTAGATTTCATGATGGTGAAATTTTTAAACAGACAGCAATAGCTGGGCAGTGTCACTTAAATGACTTGATTTGTTCACTGCAAGAGACATGTATTTGGTGTTTTTTACATCAGAAAGCAGAGCTGACAGACAATCCTTGTAAATTACCTCTAATCTTCGCACTGCCATGGAATCAGACAGGATAACTTGTTTCACACGGTTCACAATGTCATCTTTGTTTTTATCTCTGGCAAAAAGGTCCTTCAGCATTTTCAACATGCACTTCTTCACAAACTTAGCATCCAGGAAAGGCTTTTTCTTTTTAGCCAGTACCAACATTATTCCAAGAGAAGCAGCTGTTGCTTTTTCCTGTACAGTCGCTGATGTTACAAGTATGGCATTTGAAGTGTGATACGAAGACTTCAGATTTTCAATTTTGTCATGTCTTGCAACACTGCCAGCAGGATAGACTGTGTTGAAGCTACTGTGCTTTGATTCAAGAGGCGCCTCACCCTGACAACCTTACAGATGGATACAGTGGTTTGGCATATTAAGCACAAAGGTTTTGTGTTTAAATGAGGTGGCATTAAAAAAAAAAAAAAAAGGAGAGAAAATCCGCTGTCCAGTTCGGGTTAAAAGCTCAGGTTTTGCTGTTGACTTTGCGATACCATACCATGCCACCATTACTTCTGCGCTCTTGCTGGCAGTGGCACTGCCCTCAGAGCTGGGTTACTAAGAAAGTCATAGGCAAATGATAGGCAGCACATCACAGTTTGTGAACGTAATTGTAAACATTTTTTAAGATGAGCTGGCAGGCCACACAGGAAACCTTGGTAGGCCACATTTGGCCCACATGCCACCTATTGAGTATCACTGCTCCAGGCCAGTGAAGACTACTAACATCGGACATGTCTGCTTTGGAAACACAAGAAAGCAAACAATCCATTATTTCAGCACAACACCTTGCACTGGAAGTTTCTAAGAAAGCCAGAACATAAGAATGGCCATACTGGGTCAGACCAAAGGTCCAT